AGATGAATGGATCCAAAAATTGTGGTATCTATACACAATGGAATATTATGCAGCCATTAGAAATGACAAAATAATGGCATTTGCAGGGAAATGGATGGAGCTAGAAGGAATCATGTTGAGCGAGGTAAGCCAAGAACGAAGAGACAAACGGTACATGGTCTCCCTGATAAGTGGATGCTAAATCCAAAAGGTTAGGTGATACGACAAAACTAACAGGACTTAAGAAATAAAGAACTCCCGCTCATCTGGTTGAACCACTACTAAATATCCCCATGCTGCTGATCACAAATATGGTATATAACATGTGAACACTGTTATATATTACAGACTGTGGTAGACAATTTGCTCCAGGGAAGTTAGAATGAACTTGTGACTTTGAAATTATGTAATCATTTAATCACAATCAAAAAAAAAAAAAAAAAGAACCTCGGGGAAGGGAGGGAGGGAGGGGATGGTAGGGGGAAAACAATGGAGGGGGTAACAATGTTCAAGAGGAAGTGTACTCATTACCTCACTCATGTAACTGTAACCCTCTGTATAGTAGCTTTACAATAAAAAAAAAATAAAATAAAAATTAAAAAAAATGGCAAAACCTCCCATGCTCCTGGATTGGAAAGATTAACATCGTGAAAATGGCAATACTTCCCAAGGCTAACTACAAATTCAATGCAATACCTATCAAAATTCCAACCTCATTCTTCAAGGAAATAGAAGAGGCAATCCAAAAATTCATATGGAACAATAAAAGACCCCGAATAGCAAAAACGCTCCTCAACGGAAAGAACACTGCTGGAAGAATATCAATACCAAATTTCAAATTCTACTATAAAGCCATAGTCATCAAAACAGCTTGGTATTGGCATAAGAACAGACCTCAGGACAAATGGAATAGAATTGAAAACCCAGAAATGAACCTACAGACCTATAGCCATCTAATCGTCGATAAGGGAGCTAAAAGAATAGAATGGAAGAAAGACAGCCTCTTCAGTAAATGGTGCTGGCAAAATTGGTTAACTACTTGTAGAAAACTAAAGCTAGATCCTCATATATCACCCTGCACCAGAATCAACTCCAAATGGATCAAAGACCTCGAAGTCAAAGCAGACACTCTGAAAACATTAAAGGATGGAATAGGAGAAACCCTAGGTCTCCTTGGCTCAGGCCGAAATTTTCTGAATAGAGACCCGGAAACACAACAAATCAAAGAAAGGTTGGACAAATGGGATTGCATAAAGTTGCAGAGCTTCTGCATGGCAAAGGACATAGCTAGCAAGATCAATAGAAAGCCCATGGATTGGGAGAAGATCTTTACTAGCCATACAACGGACAAGGGTCTCATATCTAAAATATACTTGGAACTCAAAAAATTAAACCACCCAACAACAAATCCTCAAAGAAACAACTGCCCAATAAACAAGTGGGCGAAAGACTTAAAGAGAAACTTCTCTGAAGAAGAAAGAAGGACGGCCAATAGACACATGAAGAAATGCTCAACCTCCCTAGCCATAAAAGAAATGCAAATCAAAACAACATTGAGATACCACCTCACTCCAGTTAGAATGGCAAAAATCAAGAACTCTAACAACAACAGATGCTGGAGGGGATGTGGACAGAAGGGAACCTTACTTCATTGTTGGTGGGAATGTAAACTTGTTCAACCGCTTTGGAAAGCAGTATGGAGGTTCCTCAAAAGACTCCACATAGAGCTCCCCTATGACCCAGCAATCCCACTTTTGGGCATTTACCCAAATGTTTACGAACAAGACCACACTAAAGCTACCAGCACAACTATGTTTATTGCAGCATTATTTACCATAGCTAAGATCTGGAACCAACCCAGATGCCCCTCAGTAGATGAATGGATCAAGAAAATGTGGTATATATACACAATGGAATTCTATGCCTCCATCAGAAAGAATGTCATTGCCCCATTTGTTAGGAAATGGAACGACTTGGAAAAAATTATATTCAGCGAAGTAAGCCAGGCCCAAAGAAACATAGGCCCCATGGTTTCCCTTATTTGCAATAGCTAGTATATGTATGAGTCAAGCAGAAAAGGTCAGATAATGTGATGTTAGGAAAATGAACCCTTAGATATGTATTTTAATGTTTTTTTTCTTTCATGCATGTGTTTCTAACGCATTTATAAGATTATTTCTTTGTTGCTTTGTATGTCCCTCCCCCACTGTATAACCCCTGCTTTCACTATATTTGATGTCAGTATAACTTGTGGAGGAGATGGGGAAAAACCAGTTGTTTAAGGATACAGGTGGACCTGTTGCAACAATGAGAAGTACAAGTTGTCATGTCCATAACGAGCTTTACAATGTCAGTGTGGGGGGGGGAGGATTGGGACTGGGGGGGGGGGGAGGGGGGAGGCTGGGAAGGGATGTGAAGGGTAAACAAAGGAGGAGGCTGCAATGCTTGGTAAGAAATGTGCGCATTATCCTGCCCATGTAATTGTAACCCCTCTGTACAGTATGTTCACAAATAAAATAAAATAAATTAAAAAAAGAAAGTATAATGTACAAGAAAAAAAATGTTTTATAAATGTTAAAAAAAAAAAAAAAAGAAATGCTCCCCCTCTCTAGCCATAAAAGAAATGCAAATCAAGACAACGCTAAGATTCCACCTCACCCCAGCTAGAATGGCTATAATCAAGAAATCTAGTAACAACAGATGCTGAAGGGGATGTTGCCAAAAGGGAACCCTACTGAATTGTTGGTGAGATTGTAAACTTGTTCAACCACTCTGGAAAGCAGTGGAGGTTCCTCAAAAGACTCCGCATAGAGCTTCCTTATGACCCAGCAATCCCACTTTTGGGCATATACCCAAACGATCACATACAAGGTCATACCAAAGCTACCAGCACAACCATATTTATGACAGCATTATTTACCATAACTAAGATATGAAACTGACCCAGATGCTTCTCGGTAGATGAATGGATCAAGAAAACATGATATATATGCCTCCGTCAGAAAGAATGACATTGCCTCTTTCATTAGGAAATGGAAAGACTTGGAAAAAATCATATTAAGTGAAGTAAGCCAGGCCCAAAGAAACATAGGTCCCATGGTTTCCCTTGTTTGCAGTGGCTAGGCCAAGCAGAGAAGGTCATGAGTAATGTTAAGCAAAATGTACCCCAAGACAGGGACACAAGAGGTTTTTTTTTTTCCTTGCTAGTGTTTTTAATGTACTTACAATACACTATGCTTTTTTTGTTTCTATTGTATGTTCCTCCCCCGTGGTATAGCCCCTGTTTTCACTGGATTTGATGCCGGTGTTCTGCACCTTGTATATACATTTTTGTAATTTGGGGAGGGGAAGGGATATTGGGAACACTTAAATGGGGATGCAGGCTGACCCATTGTGACGACGAGATGTACAGGACACTATGTTGAAAACGAACATTACAATGTCAGGAGCAGGGGCGGGGGGGGGGGGGGGGGGGGGGGGGGGGGGGGGGGGGGAGACTGGGGGCTAGGGGGAGACCAGTTGGGGAGGCGGGGAGGGAAGTGATGGTAGGGGAAACAATGCTCGCTATGAAATGTGCTCATTACCCTACTCATGTAACTCTAACCCCTGTGTATGACATTTTTGCAATAAAAAAGAATATTAGATTGATCATTTCTCATCCTTCCAAGAGAATTTGCTTTTCTTCCTGCCAATAACCACGTTTATTATGTTTTTGGAAGACGAAACTGCCTCTGACCACATCTATGTTTTGTTCATCAGATTTTGCCTCAAAACATTTTTTTTGTCAGTCATGGGGCTTGAACTCTGTTGCCTCAAAAATTAAAAAAAATAGGGCTGGGAAGGTGGCTCAGTGGTAGAGCGCTTGTCTTGCATGCATGAGGTCTTGGGTTCAATTCCTCAGCACCACATAAGCAAAAAGAAAAAAGCCGGAAGTGGTGCTGTGGCTCAAGTGGTAGAGCGCTAGCCTTGAGCTGAAGAGCTAAGGGAGAGTGCCCAGGCTCAGAGTTCGGGTCCCACAACTGGACCCCCCCCAAAAAAAAAAAATTAAAAGATTGAGTGTATGGATCACATAGATTAGAGTCTGAAGCATTTGAGTTAGCAAATCAAACCCATACACCAGGCAGATTATAGAACAGAGAGCCACCTATTAGCAGAGAGAAGAAGTCAAAGGGCACATATGAATAAGATGAAGACCAGAGGCCCTGTAGCTTTAGAACAAAAGAAACAGAGAAAGAGGCTGCTGGCTAGAGTCTGTTCTCTTCCAGAAACTCCCTTGTTCCTTCTACACTTTTTTCCCTTATGAGGCTTCTGATAGCCACAACTCAATAACTCTCCTTTCTTATTGCACTAATAATAAATAGGTATCTATTCCTAGCAATCAAAAACAGTTCCTTACCAAGTGAGCTTAAGCAACACTCATGAAAACAATCATTTTGTTTAAAAAAACTGCTTAAGGGGCTGGGAAGGTGGCTCAGTGGTAGAGCGCTTGCCTTTCATGCTCGAAGCCCTGGGTTCGATTCCTCAGCACCACATAAGCAAAAAGAAAAAAGCCAGAAGTGGTGCTGTGGCTCAAGTGGTAGAGTGCTAGCCTTGAGCTGAAGAGCTGAGGGACAGCGCCCAGGCCCAGAGTTCAGGCCCCACGACCAGACCCAAAAAAAAAAAAAAAAAAAAAAACTGCTTAAAAGTGGGCTTACTTTTTCAACATATAATTCACAGATATACATGAAATAGAATAGACTAACACTTTTTCAATGGAATTAATGATTATAATTAATAGATGAATAATATTTGTTATGATAGGAATATTAATTTGATAAATATTTTACTCAACATTGACTGTTTTCCAATCATTGGAAGTACATGGCTTTTTAGGAGCTTACATAGCTTTATAGTAGTGATAGATTTATAAGCAAACAATATGCCCAAACAGTTAGAATAGAAATACATATTACTTTGTAGAGCTAAGAGAAAATGTCTTACCCTGCTTAATTTAATGTGGTTGGATTGCAAGCATTACTGACCTGTTCGCAGACAGGCCACATTTGCAAGCCACCACTCTGGGATCTTGGGCAGAATCACAATGACTCGATCTCCCCTTTGCAGTGAACAGGCTTCTGTAAGTATATTGGCGAGTTTCTTGGACAAAGACCCCAGTTCCTCAAAGCTCCACTTCACCTCTTCTCCATTTCCACTGATCCACCAGAAGGCTGGATTGGAAGGCTTCTTTCCAGCCTGCAAAAAGGCAAACCAAATATGAACTTAGAGATTATTATACAGTTAAGTTTCATTCCAACCAACTTAATGGAATATATTTCCTATAGAAAGATTATAACTCATTAGGAGTTACATGAAGTATTTAGAAATAAATCTGAGGCCTTTATTTCTGGATGTTGAGAGACATGCCATTTCAAACCTTTTTTGTGTGTGCTGGGGCTTTTACTCAGAGCTTGAGCACTGTCCCTGAGCTCTTTTGCTCAAGGCAAATGCTCTATCACTTTTGGTACAGCTTTACTTCTGGCTTTTTGATGATTGATGATTGATTGGAAATAAGACTTTCTAGCCCTGGCTGACTTAGAGATGTGAGCCTCAGATCTCTGCTTCCTCAGTAGCTAGGATCATAGTGTGAGCCACAATTCTTCTTCTTTTTTTTTAATCAGGGAAGAGCGCGCACGCAGTCCCCAATTCTTGGAATTGCTTTCTATTCCTTTTTGTTTAAAACAAATAGCCGGGCGCCGGTGGCTCATGCCTGTAATCCTAGCTACTCAGGAGGCTGAGGTCTGAGGATCACGGTTCAAAGCCAGCCTGGGCAGAAAGTCTGTGATACTCTTATCTCCAATAAACCACTTGAAAACCGACCAAAAAAAGAAAAATTAAAAAAATAAACAAGTAAAAATAAATTAAAAAACAAGAAGCATACATTTATGTACCCCAGACTTTCTTAACCAAACATAAAACTACTGACATTGTGGGAGCTTTCCATTACATAATGTTATTATTATTATTTTTGGGGCCTGAACTCTGGGCCTGGGTGCTGTCCCTCAGCTCTTCAACTCAAGGCTAGTGCTCTACCACTAGAGCCACAGCGCCACTTCCAGCTTTTTTCTTTTTGCTCATGTGGTGCTGAGGAAGCGAACCCAGGGTCTCATGCATGCAAGGCAAGCACTCTACCACTGACCCACCTTTCCAGCCCCACATAATGTTAGTTTTTTAGCAACATCCTTTACCTCTATCTTAGGTTCCAGTAGCATCTATTCACCTCAATTGCTTACCCACTCATGGGAACAAAAGTGTTTCTAGATGTTGCTAAATATTCTCAAGAGACAAAATCATTCCCAGGTGAGAAACTAGTTGACTGTCTCTACCTTATCCCATACCTTTTCTATATTGGTCCACTGGTCCAGGACATCTTTAGCAAAGTTGAAATATTCTGGAATCTCTAATTTGAAGTCCTGTTTCATGGACTCATAGTCAGAGAAATTTTGAGGAGTTACTCTTCTATAATCTTTATGCAAACACCTCACAGATCCAGGAATTGCTAGGTGCTGTAAACACTTGACACGAAGTAACATCTCCATGGTGACAAGAACTAACATCAGTTAGTCTCATTGAATATTTTAACACTCAGGATTTCCATGGGAATGAATCCATCTAAAAGACAAACAAAAAGGTCATATATTTGTTTCTTTCCTTTTTTTTTTTTTTTTGCCAGTCCTGGCACTTGAACTCAGGGTCTCTGTCCCTGAGCTTCTGCTCAAGGCTAGAATTCTACCACTTGAGCCACAGCGCCACTTCTGGTGTTTTCTGTTTGTATGGTACTGAGGAATCAAACCCAGGGCTTCATTCATGCAAGGCAAGCACTCTTATCACTAAGCCACATTCCTAGCCCCTCACGTATTTGTTTCTATCCCCAAAGTAGCAATAATCCAAACAGACAAGTTTATTATTATTAATCATAATTGTCATAACACCATTTTGGAGCACTCCCAGTGTTCTAAATACTATGCTTGGTGTTTTAGATACTCTTTACTCTTTGTCATTACATTCTCAGAGTAATCCTGTTAAATGGGTATTGTTTTATTTATTTATTTGTTTATTTGAAAAAATGACTAGTAAGAGGTATTGGTTGGGTTTCAACTCAGAGCTCTGAACCCATCCTATTCTCTTGACTTCTGTGTATTATCACCTCATATATGTTTCTAAAGATATAAAGATCTGGGTTGGGCATAATAACTCACTATAATTATACTGTAATCTCAGCTACTCAGAGGCAGAGATAGAGAGGACAGTGGTTTTAGACAAGAAGTTAGAAAGACCTGCACTCACAAGTGCAGCTGTGGCTCAAGCTAGCCTTGAGCAAAAAAGCTAAGGGATAGCATCCAGGTTCTGGTGCTCTCTCTTCCTCTTCCTCTTCCTCTCTCTCTTTCTCTGACTCTCTCTGTGTGTGTGTCTCTGTCTCTCTCTGTCTCTCTCTGTCTGTCTGTCTCTCTCTCTCTCTCTCTCTCTCTCTCTCACACACACACACACACACACACACACACAAAGACCTCATCTCATCTTGGTTAATGAGCTGGGAATTGTGGCGTGAACAGGAGGCTGCAGGTAAAAGGATCACATACTGGGATCTACAGTGGCAGTCTGAGGCTATCCCTGGGCAAAAATAACTAAATCAGAGGAGAATGGAGGTTAAAGAATAAAGGAGATTAAAAAAAGAGGCTGTTAGAGCAACTGCTTAACATCTATGAGACTCTGAATTAAAATACCAACAAACAAATCTGAGTCCCAAATTAATCTCTTTTGCAAAGGGCTAGAACTTTCTGATCTAATAAATTTCATTTTTAGATTTCAAAAGTAGTGTGGAAATGCTAAGAAGGAGTTTTTTCACAATGTATAATCTATAAATGAAGAAACTGGGGAGTTCTCAGTGCCAATTAGGTATGAAAGCACTGTCAGTCTGCTTAGGTTGTAGGTTGCAGTTCCCATGCTCCCAATAGGAACCCACACTAGAACCAAGTTCAGGCTTGTAGGTGTAATATAGGGTTTTAATCTTTATGTGGGTGAGGGCCCCTGGGTCACCTAGCCCTCCCTGCTTCTGTCTGTGGGAAATCATTTGATCACAATATCATTTACTTGGTTGAGGCTAATAAAATACAGTATATGAGTATTTAAGGTTCTCCTCAACATACTTTTTTATAATTTTCCTACAAGGAAACATGAACTACTCTCATAATCATTAAATCATACTTTTAACTATAATTTGAGTTGTGTAGTACATAAGACAGACTAGTTATGTGGAAGTATTTCTGTGTTGATGAAATGCCCAAACAATGCATAATATCAGATATCAACTAAGTTTTACCCTAAATGACCTGGGATTTGGGTATCATGATATTGTACTGAATGTATTGGGAATCTAGATACTTGTTCTGAACCTCCTACTTCTTTGTGAGAGAACTTCACAAGTCAGTGATCTTGAGTCCTCTGAGACCATCCAGTTTGAGCATCTTTATTTTTTACCTGCAAAGAAAATGACACCAAAGAGGACACCAACTGGCTTTAGTCTGTACTATAAGAGCTAGTACTAGAACTCTGGTTTTTTGATGTCTATTTGAATGATTTTACTTCAGCTCAATAGGATTTCATTAGAGCAGCAATTTTTGGTCTTATGTTTCATTCACAGGAAAGCTTTTATAAAATTTCTGCTTACTGTAAAGTTAGAATTTATCTGGTTTTTTAGAAGGATGTTGGTGGCTCATATTTATAATCTTAGATAATCAGGAGGTTGAGACTGAGGATCTCAGTCCAAAGCCATGGGGGAGGGGGTAGAGTGACAGTCCTAGAATTTGAGTTCAGGGCTTAGGATCTATCTCTGAGCTTCTTTTGCTCAAGTATTATGCTCTACCATTTGAGCCACAGTGCCACTTTCAGCTTCTATTTGTGCTTAATTGGAAATGAGTCTCACGGACTTTCCTGCCAGGGCTGGCTTTAAATCATAATCCTCAGATCTCAGCTTCCTGAGTAGCTAGGATTACAAGCATAAGTCACCAGTGCTTGGCTCTCTGCACCATTTTAGAGCTGTTCTATATGTACTCAAACAAATATAATAAATTCTTATATCTGTAATACTTTCACACAACAGGTAGCCTATAATTCACTCTATCAGTACATTGAGTTCTTCATTCTGATTGTGTATGGGTGTGTGCATATGTGTGTGTTTAGGATTTTTAATTTTTTTGGCAGTGCTGATGTTTCAGCCTCAGGGATTTGCACTTACCTAATATGTACTTTACCACTTAAATCATACCTTAAGCCAATTTTTATGTCATATTTTTGAATAGGCTCTTGAATTTATGTGCAAGCTAGCTTAGAAAGTGATTCTACTATTTATGCTTCTTGGGTAGCTGGGACAGGTACATTATCACTTTGCCCAGCTTTTTAGTAAAAGATAAGGTCTAGTGAACCTTTCTTTTCTTTCTTTCTTTCCTTCTTTCTTTCTTTCTTTCTTTTTTTTTTGGACTGAGCTGCCTCAAACTATAATCCTCCCAATCTTTACCTCCCAAATAGCTAGCATTTTAGCCAACGAGGTCCAGATTTTTTCAAGCTACACTGAATTCTAATGAATAACTTCAACATAATTTCTTTAAAAACCTAGTTTTTAATTGATAATCACTTTAACTGCCTATATCATTTGACTACTTGGATAAAAGTTAGAAAGTATTTTCTAGAACAGAAATGCCCTGATTCTTTTTTTAATACAAATAGTATTTTAAAGTTGATATGAACCATCATAACAGTTTTCTCATCCTATTCAAGTAAGAGGCAATAATTTGAACTAGTTAGTACAAATACTTTGGAGCACTGCACTTTATTCTTTGTACATTACCATGGTTGATTATTTATTCAACAAATATTGACTTAGTGGTAACCATGAAATGTTTCAAACAGAAGAACTATGTGAAAACTCATTAGACAAGTTCTACCTGCTGTCATGGAAAGAAATAGATAAGCAAAGCCAAAAAATATTACAGAGAGCGAGAGAGAGAGAGAGAGAGAGAGAGAGGGAGAGGGAGAGGGAGAGGGAGAGGGGGAGAGAGAGAGAGAGAGAGAGAGAGAGAGAGAGAGAGAGAGAGAGAGAGAGAGAGGGAGAGGGAAAGGGAGAGGGAGAGGGAGAGAGAGAGAGAGAACACAAAAAGCATAACAAGAAAAATGGGAATAAGTGGTTATTTTAGGTCTCTCCAGGAATCTAACTTTTTTTTTCTGAGATCTGGCATGTGGCTGCACTGTGCTAAACAGCCTTCACTGATTTATTATTTCTACTTTATAACAAAGGAAACACACATACACAGAAATAGAAGACACATATTCAAATTGAAAAATGAACTTGCTTATTCAAATATTTGTTGAGTACTCACTATATGACAAACTGATATTAAATGTTGAAAATACAGTTGTGAACAAGAAATTGTTTTGTTCCCTGGAAGTTTTTTTTTTTTTTTTGGGTCCAGTTGTGGGGCCTGAACTCTGGGCTTGAGCGCTGTCCCTCAGCTCTTCAGCTCAAGGCTAGCGCTCTACCACTTGAGCCACAGCGCCACTGCCGGCTTTTTTTCTTTTTGCTTATGTGGTGCTGAGGAATCGAACCCAGGGCCTCAAGCATGCAAGGCAAGCGCTCTACCACTGAGCCAACTTCCCAGCCCTCCCTGGAAGTTTATAGACTATAAAACATATGCAAATGTTTTCACTGGGGATAAGTACACTGCACACAACTTGCTGATATTGTGTAGAATCAGAGTTTAACATGAGTTCATCCTTATCCTACATGCACATTCAAAGTCCTACAAACACCAAAAAGAGAGTAGCTAGTTATTTGGAGCTTAAAATGAACCTATTTTTACTTTGTTTAACCAAAGAAAAAATATTAACCTCTGGGGCTGGGAAGGTAGCTCAGTGGTAGCTCAGTGCCTTGCATGCTTGAGGCCCTGGGTTTGATTCCTCAGCACCACATAAGCAAAAAGAAAAAAGCTCGAAGTGGCGCTGTGGCTCAAGTGGTAGAGTGCTAGCCTTGAGCTGAAGAGCTGAGGGACAGCGCCCAGGCCCAGAGTTCAGGCCCCACGACCGGACCCCCCCCCCCAAATTAACCTCTCCCTAATCAAAACCACAATATTGTTTTTCCCCAACTTAGTTCCTGCCTTTTTAATGGTATTAGCATTTTATATCTTCTATTTTGTAGGTGTGTAAAATTGTTCATAGATGAATGAAGATAAAACCTTCCCAGGATGAGTCTAGATTTTGGATTTTGCTGTTCAAGACCCATCCTGGCTCTTGACTCAGGGCCTGGGCATTGTCCTTGAGCATTTTTTGCTCAAGGCTAGCACTCTACCATGAACTACACCCCTAGTTCTGGCTTTTTGATGGAGGAGTAGTTTATTGGAGACAAAAATCTCACAGACTTTCCTGCTGAGGCTGACTTTGAATCAAGATCCTCATATCTCAGCCTCCTGAGTAGCTTGGATTACAATAATGAGCCACCTGCATTCAATTAGATTTTTATATTGAGACATAGAAATACTGCTAGGGAAAACGCTACTAAGAAAGTGCTATTGGCTGACTGGTTTTACTTGAAATATAAGCTTTATGTGCAGTGGAGCAGCAGTGCCAAAGGCACTTAGTCGCCCACATTTCTATAAATCCCTTTTTCCTAGGTAGCTCTACTAATAACAGAGAGTTAGCATATGTAGTTTCAAAGCAAAGCAAGTTGCCTACTGTTCTTCCCAACCCCAACAAGTCACTGCCCTTATGCAACATTTAAAACTACCTTTTGTTGGGTTGGGAAGTTGGCTCAGTGGTAGAGTGCTTGCCTTGCATGCTTGAGGCCCTGGGTTCGATTCCTCAGCACCACATAAGCAAAAAGAAAAAAGCCGGAAGTGGCACTATGGCTCAAGTGGTAGAGCGCTAGCCTTGAGTTGAAGAGCTGAGGGATGGCGCCCAGGCCCAGAGTTCAGGCCCCATGGCCGGACCCCCCCCCCTAAAAAAGAACTACCTTTTGTCACCCAATGGAGAAAAACAATTTCCTCCAGCTTGTTTGCTTAGATTTTTGCACCTGTCAGTTTTGCAAAGCTTTCTAGAACTACTATACATACTTTCTACATAATAGAGAAGATGATATTTCCATCTGTCACTGAGCAGGATGGAGCTAAGCATACAGTACAGTAGAAAATTTAGCTGCTACTCAGACTCCCTTAATTTTTCTAAAACATTTTATCAAGTAAACATATGCATTAAGATTCATTGTACTCACAAACTGACATTTGAACCTCTTTTTAACAATTATTTAAAGATAATAAAAACAAATCAAATCAAAATTGTAAAAAAGTAAACACATGCACATATTTTTAAGAATCAAATGGCAGCAAAAGACTTAAAAAGAGAACTAAGCTTGTATGTTCAGCATCTACTGTGTATGCTTCTTCCGCATCACTTACTAAATGCTATATCACATAACAATTAAGAAATTCTGAAATATATTGGCTGCTCATAATTTCAATGAGAACATTATTTGTGTGTGTGTGCCAGTCCTGGGGCTTGAACTCAAAGCCTGGACACTGTCCATGAGTTTCTTTTGCTCAAGGCTAAAGCTCTATCACTTGAGCCAAAGCTCCAGTTGTGGCATTTTTTTTTAGTTTTTGTTTTTCCTAATAGGAGATAAGAGTCTCACAGATTTTCCTGCTTAGGCTAGCTTTGAATCACAATCCTCAGATCTTAGCCTTCTGAGTATCTACAATCTTAAGCATTAGCAACTCATCTCTGGCTATGAGAGCATTTGTTCAAATTTATTTTTCAGTTAGCATGCATTAATGGCATGAGGGAATTTCACTGTGATAATTCCAAAGATGAATAGTGTACTTTAAACAAGTTCACCTCCTACATTAATTTCACCTAGTACTCCACCCCCCTCATTTGTTAGTACTGCTTGTTATCTTTCAACAACAACAACAAAAAAGCTGTAAACAGTGCAGCAAATTTTAGACAGGAGAGAAGATGACATACTCACTAAAGTTACAAACTCTTCTTCAGACAACTGGAAGTGGTGGCAGTCCAGGGTCCTTAGAATAATTCTGTAACTTGATTTCTCACTTCTGCTTTAGTCGTAGTAACAGTCCAAGGTAGTCTGAGAGGAAGCAAGCAAGTGCCTAATCTGGATTGGTGGAGGTATTCTGGAGGGAGGAGCTGGAACTCCAGGCCAAGTTTACACAATCATTACCAATCTTTCTTACAGGTTAATGACTGGGATTTGGAAAGCATTTTTACCTCAAGCTTTTAGCAGACTTGGAATGCAAAATTTTTATAAGGGAAAAATGTCCAAAGAGTTACTGAAATGATTAGTCCTGTAAATACGCAGGGGAAGTCCTCAAAAGGAAGAAAGAAGAAATGGAAGAAAGCATAAAGGTTTTTGCTTGTTTGTTGCCTATCCTGTGGCTTGAACTCTAGTCCTGAGCAGTCTTGAGCTTTTTGTTCTAGCACTCTACCATTTGGAGCCACTGTTCTACTTTCATATTTCTTGGTAATTTATTGGAGATATAAGTTTCATGGACTTTCCTGCCCAGGCTGGCTTCAAACTGCAATCCTCAAATCTCAGTTTTCTGAGATTTACAGGCATGAGCCTCTGGCACCCAGCAAAGATTATTTTTTTAAGACCTCACAAAAGCAGTTTAACCAGACATAAGAAAATTAGGGCATAGATAGTTAAAGCAATTTAAGCAATTTACTCAAAACTCATAAAGCTAATAAGTGGAGGACCATGAATTTGATACAGTAGTCTGGATTTAGAAAGAAAGTATGGAATAGCCATTTGCTGAATATTTATAATACTGAACACTTTCCACATAGTGTCTCAATATTCATAATAAAATTCACCCTATCTTAATACTCAAAATAATTCTGCATGGAAATTAACAATTGTTTTACCTACACTGAAGAGAAGGAAAGCAAATATTGGGAAAGGTAGATAAATAAAATCAATATAAAAGTCATCTCCAAATCTACCTAATTTCTTATCTACTCCTGCTTCTTATATCTCATAAAGGTATTCTGAAATGAAAAAAATGTTGAGGGGTGGGTAGGACTGACCTACCTTCGAGTTAATTCTTTCTGTTGCACTGGTCAGGACTAAATATAAGAACTATCAGGTCATTCCTGAAAAGACCTGGACATCTTCAGTTCTCCTTGTTAGGGAACTGAGTCATGAGTGTTAAGAAAGATCAAGTAGACAGAAGGAAAGAAGCCAGAGACCTCAGCAGACCAGACCAGGCTTTAATCATGGCTGCAGAGGGACTCCATGGAACACTGAGCAGGATCTGGGAGACAGACTGGGGAGTGAGGGGGGGAAGAGGGGGAGTGTTCTAGGTTTTCAGACATTTAAGATGAGATTCTTCAGAAATGTGCCCAGTTCTCCTGGAGGTTTATTGCCAAAACTGTCCTAATGGGAGTTTATAGTGTAAACAGTCCTGTCTGTGGAGTTTTACAGTAGGGGTATCTTCCTTATGCCAGCAGACCTGCTCTTTCACATTAGGCCTGTCCTGCACCTTCCAATAAGGCCAGATGTGCAGTTTCCCTGAGAACCAGTAGTGCCCCGGGGAGGGTGGTCCGTGGGCCCCAGGAGTAGTAAGCTATGAGAACAAAGCAGATTCTCATCACTTCTCAGCTCATTCTAAGTTAAAATTCAAGTCCTTTCATGGAGTGCTCTGACCTGTTGGAGCTATAGTATACCAGACTCTTTGTGTGTTCTCAAACACACCAGCACGTTCCAGCCTTGAGCCTCCAATTCTGAATCCTCCATTTGGTGAGGTATCCAAATCTGTTTTTCTTACCACGTTTTCTAAAATAGGACTCTTCATTTTTTCCCCTTTTTGACCCATTTTAACTTTGTATGTGTCTGTGTGTTGGTCCTGAGGCTTGAACTCAGAGAGTGGGTAATGTCCTTGTGCTTCTTTGCTCAAGGTTAGCACTCTACCACTTGGGCCATAGTTCCACTTCTGGCTTTTCAGTGGTTACATGGAGATGGGAATCTCAGGGACTTTCCTGCGTGGGGCTGTCTTCTAACTGCAATCCTCAGATCTCAGCCTCCTAAGTTGCTCTGATTGAAGGTGTGAGCCCCTGGCATCTGGCCCATTTTAACTTTCTTATGCCTCTTATCAACCTTAGAAGGTAAGAACACCATTCTACTTGCTGACATATCATTTCCTATAATGGCTGCTGCTGCTAAGTATTCATTAAACATTTATTGGGCATATGAATAAATAACTGCAGATAATTAAAAGCAACTCAAATTCACTGGAATGAAGAGAGGATTTTACTTTGCATTGTGGAACTTTTTGGTTGATAGCTTGGGATTTTCAGTATAAACTGTAAATCCAAAAATAAGCCTAAATAACTTAGTTTTGCATCTTACCTCCATTTAGCATAGGTTCCTGCTTAACCTTGCTTATTTTTTGCTTCATACATAGCTAGTAACTCCTCTGCTCTATTTTGAGAAAACCACTGTGTCCAGAAACATTGCCTACAAACTACACCTTGATTAGCATGCCATGTACACACCCCATAATCTGTCAAAGGGACCAACAACTACCCATTCCACACTCCCACTCACATTCCCACATTCCTTACAAAAGCCCTCTAAAGCTCACTCCAATCACCCCACAATGCCTATGGTGTCTTGGCAGTAAGATACACTATATTGAATAAGTTGTAAGAGCAAAATTCATTGCCTTATTCCTAAAATTAGAGGGAAAGAATTCAGGCTGTCATAATTAGGTAGGTTTTGTTTTAGGTACTCTTTATAGATGAAAGTTGAGGAAATTCTCTATTCCTGTTTTATTTCTGAAAGTTTATCATGGATATTGAATTTTGGCATTTTTTTCCTGCATAATTTACTATAATTGTGATGTTTCTTCTTTAATATGTTACTAATATGGAATACATTAACCAATTTTTCTAATATTGAACCAGCTTTTATTCACTGGAATAAAACCTGCGTGGTGCTAATGTATTAACAGTTTTTTTTGTTTTTGTTTTTGTTGGTCGTGGGGCTTGAACGCTGGCCTGGGCACTGTCCCTGAGCTCTTCAGCTCATGGAGAATGCTTTACCATTTGAGCCACAGCACCACTTCTGGTTTTCTGGTGGCTAATTTTAGATAAGAGGCTCACAGACTTTCCTGCTCCGGCTGGTTTTGAACCATAATCCTGAGATCTCAGCCTCCTGAGTAGTTAGAATTATAGGCCTGAGCCACTGGTGCCCTGCTCCCATATTATTCTTATTTATGACTTCCACATAGCTGAGCTGACAGGTGTAACCCACTTTGCCCAGCTATTTATTGATTGTGTTGGTATCTCTAAAACTTTTTGCCCAAACCAACCTCAAACCTCAATTCTAAGATTAAAGGTATGAGACACCATACCTAGCCTAAAGTCTTCTTATTTCTGTTTTATATATAATGCCTAGTAATTTTAGTTATATTAGCAGGAAAAAATGGGGAAAGTATGTCTGCTCCAACTTTCCAGAAGTAGAAATCTACTTGTCCCACTTTTTGAGATTAGAATAAAATTCATAACTAAACAGGGCAAGAACACTACAAGAAAGAAAATCACAAGCTATGTTACTCTTTAAACATAACACTGACACTCCAATCATTGACAAACTAAAATCAGCAATGTGTAAAATCTAGAGATCTATTATAGCTAGTTTGAGTTTATTCAGGAAGAAGAAAAATTATGTGAGCATTTCAATTAATACAAAAATGTAATTAATTTCAGCAATCATTCACAATAAGCCTTATATATACACAAATGGGAAATGCAAATTTCATTATACAATAAAAATTCTTAATGAGATTGTTAATGAGATACCTTATCCTGTAGAAACTGCATATTCACCTTTTCTTTCTTTCTTTTTTTTGGGGAGGGTCTGGTCGTGAGGCCTGAACTCTGGGCCTGGGCACTGTCCCTTAGCTCTTCAGCTCAAGGCTAGCTAGCACTCTACCATTTGAGCCACAGCGCCACTTCTGGCTTTTTTTTTCTGCTTATGTGGTGCCAAGGAATCGAACCCAGGGCCTCAAGCACGCAAGGCAAGTGCTCTACCACTGAGCCACCTTCCCAGCCCCTCATCTTTTCTTTGTTGTCAAAACTTTGTAAACATGGAACAACTAGACACTCTTAAGTAGACCCCAGAAAGACTATGATTATTATGTCCTAAAGCACACCAGTTTTAGGACGTCATAATCCAAGGCTACCCTTCTCCCCATTTGTATATAAGGAATAGAGAAATGACCTAGACATACCAATCTAAAAACATGGAGGTTGAAATCAATCCACTATAACCAGACTAGAGGTCTATTCCTTTGCAGAAAGCTATTTTAGCTACTGCCATGTTTCTTGAAGCCACTGAGGAAGTTATAAGGTCTATGGCCGGCAGTTGAAAAAAGCCCTCTTCAACTCAGAGCATAGACAACACTTCTTTATCTGTCCATCTTTTTTTCACGATATCCTTCTGTAATCTCAGTCCTTTCACTCCTGCACCTACTTTCCAATTAGATACTACATAACTATCAACCTACTAAAAATTGCAAGAGACACAGATAATGTTATAATAATTCGGTTTACGACACATCTTACCAAATGATAAGAATATATTGAGCAAGATATGCTATTGACTCTTGGAAGAAATAATAGAAAGTAACCTTCTAGAGCCAGGCGCCAGTGGTTCACACCCATAATACTACTCAGAGGTAGAGATCTGAGGACCGAAATTTGAAGCCAGCCCAGGCAAGAAAGTCTGTGAGGCTTTTATCTCCAATTAACCACCAGAAAACTGGAAGTGGCCCTGTGGCTCAAGGGGTAGAATGCTAGCCTTGAGCTGAAGAGACCAGGGACAGCACCTAGGCCAAGAGTTCAAGCCCCATGAGTGACAGAGAGAGAGAGAGAGAGAGAGAGAGAGAAACCTTCTACCAGAAGCTAAATCAGTGGAAATGATTGCTTTAAAAATAGTATGCTATTAGAAAAAGGAAAAAAAAACTGCTAACATTAATGAAGATAGGAGATATTCCTTTGGAGGGACTCATGATTTGGGAATTATGAAAAAATTATGAGTTTAGA